CTAAGTGAAGCATCTCAAGAATGGAAAAACAAACACCACATGAACTCACTATTAAATTGGAACTAACCAGTGAGCACACATCTGCACAGAGGGAAATAAAACTCAGTGGAAATCAACCAAGGGGGAGGGAGGTGGGGGGGGCAACTAACAGGTTCTATGAACGCTATTCGGATCACATTCTCTTTCTCTTTACTTCTAATTTCACATGTTAGACGGTGATATATTGTCTCTCATGTCTAAAATGGTTTAGTTTTATAATTCATTTTACTCTCTTAGTGCTTCAATTAAGTAATTCTATTGATATTTCTTCAAGTTTACTAACTCTTTATCATGCTATGTTCCATCTACTGTTGAGCATATCAGATGAATTCTTCATTTTTATATTGTAGTTTTCAGCTCTAGCACCTCCTTTTGGTTCCTTTTTAAAGTTTTCATTTCTCCGCTGATTTTTCCATCTGTTTCATGCATCTTTTTCACTAAATCAACTAACGTATTTATAGTAGTTATTATTAACTCATCATCTTCAAAGTCCAACATCTGGATCATTTCTTCTTCTACTCTTATTTTTAATCTTGATTTTGGGTTCCTGCCTTGTAATTTTTTATTACCGAATAGGCATTGTCAGTAAAAGAATAGTAAGGACTGAAATGCATAATATTAACCCCCCCAAAAAGAGCAGGCCTCTTCTCTGTCAAGCTGCTTGGGTAGGGAGGCTGAATCATTCCACCGTTAAAGTAGGGCTGGGATTTGTTGTAATTTCACTTTGTTTTTTAGATTCTTTTTATCCTGGGTTTAGGTTTTTGGGTTTTTTTTTTTTTGTATATCTCAATTATCTTTTAATTTATAGTAGTACTCCCTCCCTCTTTTTCTCCTTTAGAATGTATTCATTTTTTTAAAAAATCATGTGTCTTGTAGAATTTTTCGCATTCTGGACTTTGCTGGTAACATCCTTATGGTGTTGTTTGAGATATTTCCTCATGCTTTGTATTTTCTCTAGTTTATCTAGAGGCCTGCTCAGATTTGGATTAAATTTTTTTTTTCTTTCAGGGTATTATGAGGGTACTAACATTATAGTTACCCTTTATGTCTTTGCCTTACCCAAGCGAGGGTTAAAGGCATGCCCATCCCCCCTACTATGCTCCCAGTGTCCTTTAGTTGCAGGTTTACCTTCCCATCCCCCTAATCCCTGGAGACTATTACTGCCATGTGATCAACCTACCCTGCTGATCTGCCGCAGTCTTCAACTAGTCACTGTCTTGCTTTAGATGAAGGCTCCACGTGCCTAGGAGAGATCTTTCTCAGCTCTCCTTTGTCAGGCATCTGCATTGCCCTCAATGAGACCTGTGCATCTCTAGGGGATTTCTCTCAGCTTCCCTGCCCTTCCCCTGGCCAATGGGATGCAGCAGTCATGCACTTAGTGAGGGCCCCATGGGCCTCAAGTGATGTCTGTCAGCTCCTCAGTTCTGATCCATGCCTTCTGCAAACTGCCACTTTTCACTCTGTGAGACCCCTATGCACATCTGGAGGAATTTTTCTTAGCTCTCCCAGAGCCTTCAGCCTTTGGCATACTGCCTCCATTCACTCGGCGAAGGCCCCATGGGAAAGAACTGGCTGGTGGATAATAGCTCACTGTGACTACGGTTCACTCGTTGGAGTTCTAAGCCCTACGCCAACCCTTGTCTGTTAAAAGTTGGTTTAAAAGCTTGACTCTTTTCTTTTTATTCCCTTCTATGACCTGGTTTCTCCATTTCTCCTGTGGTCCTAGGGATAAATGCAGCCATGGGTCTCTTCTCTCACAGGAAAGGCTTGCCCATTTCTGGAATTTAGTTCATTTAGATTTCTTGGCAACCTCAGCTCACTGATGGATTTTTACA